GAGCTCTTAGGGCTGGGGACCGGCCCTCAAAATTGCTGGGGCCCCAGAACCTGCTGTCTACAACAGCATTTCAGCTTGAGGATTGAGAGCCTTAGAGTTATCTACTCTCCACCGGGCTTCATAACGGCATATAAGTGGTTTGACCACCAGGTGGCGAAAGGTGCCTGAGGAAAGAAAGCTGTACACCAGCTGCCATCAGAAAAAGCAAAACAAACACCTCTGTATTCCGTCTCTCCCAGTTGATTCTGGTTCCACGTTAACACAAAGTGACCTCTATCATATGTATGTGTCCATGATGTTAGATGCCCTAACAACCAGGGTAACTAATTCTGGTTCTCTCTCTCTCTCTCTCTCTCTCTCTCTCTCTCTCTCTCTCTCTCTCTCTCTCTCTCTCTCTGAAGAGATCTACTCTTGGGAAGGAAGAAACACAAGGCAACAAAACCAGGATAAGGGATAAGAACTAACATGACAAAGAAATTCCGAATATGGCCAAGCTCTTAGGTAGCATCAGGAGGAGTGTTTAGGGCTAGGAAGAATTGTTCTGAGGTGAGGTAGAGAGCACTGCTGTCCCGTTCCTATGTCTTCATGGATGAACTAGCTATTGAAACCTCTCTGCTCTGACTTCCTTATTTGTTGAACTGGAGTAATAGCATCTTGCTCATTGGTTCAGGGTTTCTATAAAGCAGAAATATACAGAAGATCAATGCCATGGCTTGGGCTACAGCACCAACTTCTCTGTCTTCTCCCTTATATATCTACCCTGCTGACAGCTAGCAGGATGCCTTTCAAAAGTCTACTCACTTCTGACCTTTCCTTCTCCCCTCATCCAGATAGGAGAGATGTCAGGATGACCATAGTCAACACCAATTGAACTCCTATGGCTTGGGGGGACCTTACACTCCTCGTCAACACACCCTTTACTCTTATGAACTGTAACACACAGAGAGAAGAGCCCATAGCATGCCTGCCTTGTACAACAATTATAAAGAAAAGTTCCAGGGCCTCCTTCTTGTGAGCATCTCTAACAACCACAGCCTCATTTGAAACTCTGACTGGACTTTGTGTGTGTAGGGGATTGTTCAGGTTTCTACATATAGTTACCAACAGTGACACTTGTTTTTTTTTCCCTCTTCAAGCCATACTTTTATCTTATTTTCTTCTCTTGAGGAGTTGGCTAGCACAGAAAACAGGGCTCCTGGTACACATCTTGCCAATCTTGGAGGAAAAGGGCTCACATTTTCATTGTGGTATATACTGTTTATTGTCATAAAAACCACTTCTATAAAACTGAGGAACTGTCCTACTCTTGCCAGTTTGCTAAGGATTTTTTCATTGGTTACCATAGAAATTTAAATGCCTTTTATACTTATAATCTATAAACTGATCTGTGTTTTTCATTAATGTTAATCAATAAATCATACTGCTTTTTTTACAATTATGTATTTTCCTTCTGATTCTCTTACAATGTAATTTTGTTGGGAGATACTATTATCGTTTGGTGTCTGCTTGGTAGACTTTCTCATATTTCATCTCAAAATTTTATAACCATGCTCATGAATATATCTATGCTCATGAGCTTGCTTGTTTTCTGACAATCTTGGTGAATATAATGTTTATGCTAACTTTACAAAATGCTGACTTTACAAGGGAGGATATTGTACCTTCTATTTTCTGGAATGATTTTTGTTGAGATTACAACGATCGATTTTCTGAGTGTTTGGTATCATTTGCCAGTGACACACCAGCTCCAGGATGGATATGCCCTACTGAGTGTGATTTTCAAACAATTAAATCAATTGCTTACAAGACTATTTAGGTTTCCTATTGTTTGATCATTTTTTTTTTTTTGGGTAAATTATCAACTTCCAGTCATTTGCCCATTTCATTCTCAAATTTAGTAGACTAAAACTGTTTACCTTCTCTTTCTGTTTTGTGGCAGTGGGGATTGAACCTGGGGCCTTGCGGATGCCACGCAAGGACTCTACGAAGGACTTTATCCCCTGGACTCTTTTCATTTTTAATGTTGGGACAGGGTCTCCCGGGGGAACCTACACTGGCCTTGAACTCAGTCTGTAGCCCAGATGGTCCTTGGACCTGTGATCTTCTTGCCCCAGGCTCTAGTAGATGTGGTTCCAGGCAGCTCCTCCAGGCTCAGCTCTCTCCATCTTTTTAATCTCTACAGGATCTGAGTGAAGTCTGCCTCTTTCTCCCTGACAGGATTTTTATTTCTGAGAAGGTATCACTCTTGATATGGATATTTGTGCCTTCTCATCTGTTTTTGTAACTAGCCTTATAAAACGTTTGGTAATTTAACTTGCCTTTTTCAGATAGCCAACATTTGTGGTTTTGTTCTTCTAGTCCATTGATTTACTTCCATGTCATTGTTTTCCTCTGCTATTTCATTTGGCCTTTTTTTTTTTTCATCACTATGGTTAGGTCTCAGGAAGCACATATGTCCAGAAATGAGCTCAACCTGGACTATAGAAGGATTTCTGGTGGTTAGATAAAAGCCAGCATCCCTCAGGAACTTGGGAAGCAGGTGCCAGCCTGTCTGCCATAAGGAGTAATTTCTCTGACCTCTTGCAGAAGGGACATGTGGCTCTCCATTGACATGTGCCTGTGGTGCATATCAAAGCCCCCGCTGGCCTCCAGCCTCCTTCAGTCCCTATTTACAAGTAGCAGATACACATTTCAAAGCCCCCACATTCCTCCTCTACCCTAAACTCCCAGGCCATCTCCAGCTCAGGGCTTCCTTCTTCCCAGCTCTCATCATCTTTATAACTTCTATGATTTTCCTTGCTCTGCTTCCCTAGCCCAGGCCATGTCCAGTCTACTTCTTTCTCTCTTTGCTCTGGACTGTTCCAGATGTCTCTGGTTATTCTCTCTCGTCTCCCGAGCTCTGTTTCTCTCTTTCCCCTTTTCTCCATCCCTCTGTGTGGTGATATTTTGTTCATGCTCTAACAAATAAAGCTTGCCTGTAGATCAGAGTGCAGAGCTAGCCACTAGTTAGCCATAGAGGCCAGGCAGTGGTGGCACACACTTTTAATCCCAGCACTTAGGATCTCATGCCTTTGGTCCGAGCACTAGGGAGGAGAAAACAGGAAGTGATATGGCTGGGCAGAGAGAGGAATGTAAGGTGGGCAGAGCCCGGAGCTCATCCCTTTCAGGCTGAGGAGTTATGAGTTAGGAGGTGGCTGTGGCTTGCTCCTTTGTCTCTCTGATCTTTCAGCATTTACCCTGATATCTGGCTCCTGGTCTTTGTTATTAAGACTAATTAGGATTTGTGCTATGCCTCCCTCCTTGTCTGTCTTTCTGTTTGTCTCTTATCCATAATACCCTTCCACCCCCCTATCATGGAGCAGCCACTTTGGTGTTTTCTTAATGTTGCCCCTTTGTATAGCTAAATAATTTGGGGTTGAAGTTTAACTAGTTAACTTTCAGGATCTTTCTGGAATGTGCTAATTCAAAGCTGTCAGTGTGTCAGCATAATCTTCTTCAGCTGTATCATATACATTTTTATGCTCAGTGTTTTTTTTATTATTACTCAGTTTAAAATAGTTCCTAACTCCTAGTTCCTTTTTATGCCCAGTGTTTTTATTATTTCTCAGTTCAAAATAGTTCCTAATTCCTACTGTAAGGTTTTCTTTCACCTAGATGTGATATGTAGGTGTATTTCCTAGTTTTCAGTCATATGGTACCTCCTTTTTGCAATTAATGTCCACTATGTCACTGTATTATAAGACTATATTCTGTGTAATTTTAGTCCTGTGAAAATTTACTACAATTGGTTGTACAGCAAAGGATAAAGATAATATTTCATAAATAAACATACTTGCTACCTCCAAGAAGCTGTGGTATTATGGAGGTCTTACTGGTCATGTGAATGGTTACAGAAAGTAGCAAGACATACTAACAAGACATAAAGGAAGTATAGCTCAACTATGACATCTCTTGGCTACAGCACATAATATGGGGGAAAGGGACAAGGTGCAAAGAGACTTTAGGATAAGGATGTGATGCTAGAAACATGTGAAGGAGACCACACTCCCTTCATCAGGTAGTAGGTAGATGTTGAGAATGATATGCAGGGACATAGAGGAGCTGTGTTTCAGGTAGACAGTCACAGGACAGCTGTGTGTAAGGCACATGCAGATTCAACCCAGTGCACTTGGTACCTCCTAATGCTACTTATAGGGCTGTACCTGAGGATTAAAGTAAAGTAAACCTGAGCTAAAATAAGAGCAATAAGGAAGGTACACCCATCGAGTACTGGTTTCGTGCCAAGCTCTATTTATACTTGGCATTTGTTAGGTCATTACAAATAATTTTAAAGTAATTTTACCATGCAACCATGAAGTACTAATGGTGAAAGTTTTAATGATGTTCATTGTACTGAGCTGCCTATGGGAAGAGTGAACTGAGAGGATGCTTTGAAAAACAGAGTTGGGAAGGAAGGACCGAGAAACCACACTCTGTACATTTACTTAACCAATTAATTTAGATACTGAGTCTTTTTTCAGATGAAGTAAATAAGCATTTACCTTTAAATGATCCCTTTTGAACTTTGCTCTCTTTTTGTGTCTAAGCATAACGGAGTCTACACGCACTTTCACTTACCCAAGGACTCTGGTTGGGGACACATGGACCCAATGGTCTCCTTCTCTGATAGCTGTCGCATGGTGTCAGAAACAGAAGGCTTCACGCTGCTGGCAGCAGGCTGATCGGTATCCGGGGAATTTCTGTATCTCTCAGCTTCTGGCTCAGCCTTTGACAAATTCTGGTCTACAAATAGTGTTCTGTCTTTGTTCTCGGTGACTAGTCAGGACGAAGAGCATCTATTGGATACAGTACCGGGGTGGCTGCCCCTCACCCCTTCCATGCAGCTTACCTGTCCCTGGCTTGGCCTTCTGGGTGCTCATCCTGTGCATGCACCGCTGCCTTATCTGCTTAGCAAACCTGGCAGGGTGGTCCCACGGAATGTTGAAATTCTCAATGTCTGTCGGACTGACCACCTCAGCGGGCTTGAGCTGTCCTGCCTCGTCCACCTCTGAGAGCTTCAGGCTCTCAAAAGTAAACACTTTGAAGGCTCGTTCTACTTCATTCCAGCTCAGCACTTCTGCAAGAGAGCAGGCCCCCTGCCTTGAGGAAGGCTCTTATTAGTACAAGATACAGGGCTGACCCAAGGGCAGCTGAAGAGTGCCAATGGTTCATGCCATGATGGGTGCTGACCTCACTTAAAATACAGACTTCAAAAGTCTTCATCAAATATCAAAGGGCCCAAATACTAAGAAAATCACAGTTCAGATGTAACAGATCTGAGGGATACATCCAAACAACTTCATGGCTTGATCAGTGTTTGGTACCCATGCTCACTTGCCTGAACTTTCCACAGTACTGTATTGATTTAAATACCATATATTTAAGGTTTTGTTTTGGCACAGATGGCTTTTGAAATTTGTCATTTATGTCTATGACACTTAGAAGATTTCTCTGTAAATTCAGGTTCAGAAAAAGCCTCCTTTGAGAACTGCTACTTTCCATATTTGTGCTTCAAAGTTTATCAGAGCTCGGTTGTCTCTATTCAACTGCATCCGTCAAACAGTCACTAAGGAGCTTTTGAGCAAAGAAGGCACACGGCCTGATGGACATCCTCTGAAAGGTGTTCTGGTTGTTGCACGGATAAAAGACTCCTAGTGAAAAGGTGAAAACACATAAGGTGGTCGGGATGCCTTTGAAAGAGCCCGGGGAGCTGTGGTGGACCAGCCTGGCGTGGCACTGGGCCATGGCAGATATGGGATATAAGTGAAAAGGAAGCAGGGTGACTGCAGGGTTCAGTCTGTATCAGAGTCCCAAGAGTAGTCTGAGATGAGATGGGATTCTCAATGTGCATGTGCGTGCATGCATGTGCGTGTGTGTGTGTGTGTGTGTGTGTGTGTGTGTGTGTGTGTGCAAGTCTTTTGATGTGCTGTTGAATTTGGTTTGCAAGTATTTTCTTGATGAGTTTAATATCTACATTCATTAGAAATATTGATTTATAACTTCCCTTTTTTTAAAAAAATCTATGAGAATGTCATACATGCATACAATATATTTTGATCATGCTCACCCCCTGCCGCTCCTCTCTTCAACTTCTCCCTTCATCCCCTGGCATCCTCCTCCCTCATGTAATGGCCCCTCCCTCCTACTCTCCTTCCTCTCATGAGAGCATGCTAGCTTGGATCTGCTCACTCTTTAGTGGCATGCTAACAAGGGGCCGTCTCTTCATCCTTTACCCCCAGGACTAGGGTCAGTTAAGGCTCAGAGAAGGCACGTGAGCTTTATATGATGTTTGCCTTCCCTTTAGCTTAGTAAGGAAATGTCCCTAGTGAGAGCATCCAAGGGCCAGAATTTCAATCATGGATCTGCAACCCTGGAACTATTAGTTTAGCTTGCCAGGATTTCAGATTTCTTATCCGGAAATACATTTGGACTAGGTGAATTCTGAAGTTCATTTCAGTTAGGAGATTTTATGGTTCTACAATACATCTTTCTTCATATTTCAGTTTCTGTAGCTGGCAGTGTAGCTCAGTGGTAGGGAAACTGCCTATCTTGTACCAAGTCCTAGATTCAATCATCAGTACTGAAAAAAAAAAAGAAATTTAATTTCTGGCTATAAATACTGCTTTCAGAAGTCCATCTCAGGATGGCGTTAGACAGGGATTTTTAATTGCTCCTCATCACACCACTTTTTCTTTCCTTTCCACCCTCCTGTGCAGGGATGATTCAAGGAAGTGCTCACAATCCACCAAGTGGATACCACATTCAAATTCAGACGACCCAGATCTTCCGTTTCTTCTCTTTGACCCGCAAAGAATTGTGGAGTGACTCAGGTAAAGAGATAGAAGAAAACAATCTGCCACCTATCAGTCCTCAGTGAAGAATGGACAAGAGGCATGGTTATTGTGAAAAAAAAAAAAACCTGCTTTGTAAAGAAGGGTGAGCAGCATCCTGGATTCCCGGGAAAGCACCCGAAAGGAACTGGGAGGCAAAGACATGCAGAGAGAGTTTAACATGGAACTTGTATACGAGACACCAACAAGAGTGGCTTGTATTTAAATCTGCCTCTCATGGTCTCTTCTGTTCTCTTCGACCCTCACTATGTTGCAACCTGGGGAAGAGCCCCAGGCTAACCACTTGACCAAATTAACAGATGATGACGGTCCAGACTTCAACATCCTCGGTCACATGAAGAGTGGAAACACAGCTGCCCACTTAGGCAGTGGGGATGGTGTGAGGCAGAGTTGTTTCTCATGATGAGGTGCAGTTATAAGGTTCCTGGGGACTTCCTAATATACTACCCAGAATCATTCGGTGGCTGTATTTTACACTGGAATATAATGCATTTTATTATCAGCACAGATAGACTGACAAGTACAAATGTGTCCAATGTATTGATTCAGGCTGGATAGAAGAAGGATATTTCTTGGTGGTGGTGGCTCACACCTGCAGAGGTAGGCGGATTTCTGTGAGTTCAAGGCCAGCTTGGTCTACAGATCAAGTTCCAGGACAGCTGGGGCTACATAAAGAAACCCTGTCTTGAAACAAACACACACACAAAACAACAACAACAAAAATAAAAGCAAAAAACCCCAAAAACTAAAAACCAAAACCAAAAACAGAAGAAGAGGAGGAGGAGGAGGCAGAGGAGGAGGAAGACTTCAAGTTTCCATTGAGCATAATTCTAGAATTCTAAAATGACTCATGCTGCTTGAAACTAGAGTATGAGACTCCAGACTGACAGTGCTCAGTTAGGGCAAAGTCGTCTGCTCAGACTTTCTCTTCCCATTCCTCAGGGAATGCCACTGTGCTGTGTGGTTTGTGTGGTTTTCTACAATCATAAAGGGGTTCATTCCGTGATGAGGCCTTTTTATTTTTCATTTTTTCTTTTCTGGGAAAGGGACTATGGTGGGAGGTTTTTGTTCATCTTTATATTTTTATGGATATATGAGCCATTCCTCCTCGTAAGTAGGATGGATTACATCACCCTTAAATGATGCCAGTAGGGATGTGGGATAGAGGGACTCAGGGAAGTGTTGTGGTTAAGGAAATATAGTGGAAAGAAAACCCAGTACATCAAATTGCAGAATGCTACACGTCAGAGCTGCCACATAGCTAGTGACAGCTCTGTTAAAGGCAAGAGAGTTGTAACTTGTCAAACCTCAGTCTCTGGAAGGCCTTTCAATGATCAAATTGTTTTGTTTTTTTTTTGGGGGGGTACAATTTAAAGGGGACATGTGACTATTAGTTAAGTTGAATATACAAAGCAATGAACTCACCATTTGTACAGAAATGCATAAGCTCGTGGATGGTGGCGAGTCTCCTAGTGCTGTTCCATGGAGGGGGCAGAGGGAACTGAAGGAATTCCCACAGTGGCAGCCTGGACTGCATCTCCTGCTCAATTTGAACTGGGTCAAAATTCTTCTGGTCCTTGCAAGAAAAGAGAGAGAGCGAGCAACATGTCAGAAAACATTAAAGAGAGCTGTCAAATACCTTATGCATACGGAGAAGGCTAAACATGATATCTCCATTCTCATTATCTGGAAACAGGGGAGATCAGGGGTAATTGAGGATGACAAATGCAGTATTTGGGATAAGGTCAAAAAAGCTAGTTTTCACTTTTCTAGAAGTTCCTGGAACACAGAAACAACTGAGCCTTCATACTTGGTGATAAGCTGCCGAAGTTTCTCGTGCATTATCTACCCCATCTGAGATCCTCTGATGGCCTCCGCTAGTATTTCATAGCAGCAGCTATTTAAAGCAAACGCCCATGATGTTTTTCAAGATTCATTTTTATTTACGTGTATGTGTGTACGTCTGTGTGTAGATGCCACTGGAGGCCAGAAGAGATCCCCTGGAGCTGGAGTTACACACAGTTCTGAGCTGCCTGACATGGGTTTTAGGGATGAACCTGGGTCCGCTGCACCAGCAGCGAGTAATCTTAACTGCTCAAGCACTTCTTCAGCACCTGACCATAAACTTTTAATGCAAATCTAATAGTGGTGATAATCAAGTCAGTGGTTAACTCGAACTCTGTGATTAGGCAAGTGTTCTTTGCTGACATACTTCTCCCCTCTCAGCCCCTGTTTTCTGAGCCCCCATGTCAGCAGGTATCTATTCTATATCAGTCCATTAGCATTGGTTGATAAGATCATCCAACGAGATCCCCAGAACTAATGAATCATAAGCACACCTCTTCTCACCAGCTATGGGAGGGAGGTGGCCTAATTATTACCTTCAGTGCATACTTCTTATGGGCGTGGGCGTCATGGTAGTTCAGTAGGAGAGGACCTTTGGGGGCTGCTTTGCTTTCGCTTTCTCCTTCACTTAGGAAGATCTCATGGAGATTCTATTTAAATTAAAATAATATCAATGTAGTGAGATAAGATACATACTGGTTTTCAAAGTACAAAAACTTGGATTCACTCATGTTCTGACCTTCTTTTCCTTCTCAGATAGGGAGAGCGAAGGCAGGATGGAGACGATGTGAGCTGCAATTCTGTAGTCTAACCCATCTGCTCTGGGGGGTGGCTCCACCAAACTCGGGGGGATGAGGTCTTCCTCAGTTGCTATGACCTATTGAGGAAAACAGCTGGGGGTGAGTGGGTTAAAAGTCAGTTCTTTGCTGATGCATTCCCATTGCTCTTAACAAGGAGGAGGCAGGTCCACTGAAATACCAGCGCCCATGGCAACAATGTGTCACCGATGACAAAAATAAAAGAGAAAATGCTTGCAATCCCTGCATTAGATATCATTTTAATACCTGCATTAAAATAGATGATACCAGCTAGAAGTAGAAAGCAGTAAACTTGACAACAGTAAGAGTTACAATACAGATTTTTTAAAGTACTCATTCTTTCTCATAAGACCCTGAAAATAGTGCTCACAAAACTTTGGATTCAGCATATACTTAAGCATATGTTTACTACCTGCCGGGTACTGTGTGGTATCTGCACACATAGTAACTCCCATGAGCCTCACTGCCACTAGCTGGCATGTATATCATTTTCCATTTGATAGAGAATAAAACAAAGGTGAGTGACTTAATTGTTTAATCCAACTCTACATGTTTTAAACCGAAGAATAGGGAGGTCAGGCCAAGTCATTATTCATTTCGTTTGTTTGTTTTTTGTTTTGTTTTCAAATATAGAGAAATGTAGAATAATGAGATAAGTAATAGATAATAGTTACTTTAATGTGGGCAAAGCAAGGTCTAGAAGGGTTAAATGTCTTGTTCAATTTTGCTTGGGTAGCAAGTCAAAGAAGTTGAAATACAACTAAATACCTAATATAGACATCTAATAAACAGTCTTCCTTTTCGCCTTTAAGTATTAGCATCATTGTTATAATTTCATACTCTTCTACAAGGCTGATCAGCTTTGGCAGCAGTGACATTCTGAATTAGTTATTTGAATTTTTGGGGAGTGCTGCCCTGCACACTATTTAGTGGCGTCCTTCCCATTGTTGTGAACCCATCTCCTCTACTCATTGCAAAGTGTCTTCAGGGGAGTCAAATAACTCCCTGTTGAGAATCACTGCTCTCAGAGAAAAGAGTCCCAGGTTCTTTACCTTTGATAAATACCCAGTCTTTCAAAACACTCACTTCTGTTGCTATTTCTTATCTTCCAGTTATCTCATAGATTCATTAACATCGTAAAGGAAAATTAAAACTGCTCTATGTCTGAAATGCTGAACTCTTACATCTAGTACTGTAAAATGGCACCCGCTACTTCATTGTTTGGTTTTCTTGCCCCCTCAACTCTCAGGTCTTTATTCATCCCACACATATCTACCAGGAGCCTGTCAGTCAAGGGGCAAAGTGGGGCTCCTCAGCCATCCTTCTGGTTAACTGGAACTTAGTAGGTATTTATGGAACAGTCACTGTTTTGAGTTCATTTGAATAAAATAGGAGAATCTGGTAAACAAAGTCATGAGAATGCAACATTTAGAGGTTTTAGAGACTCAAGCTTTTTTCGAATACATTGACATAATAAAACCATTGGTCTCACTAAAACTTTCCAAGGTAAAGGAAACTGTTAATGTTAACTATCTAGAAAATGGAGTCAGTACACATTTAAAAAAATACCCTGGAGGTAACAGAGATGATAGAGTCTGAAAAAGACTTTAAAGGAAACCTTGTATAGGCATGGAGAGATGACTCAGTGGTTAAGATCCTTGCTTTCCAGAGGACCTGAGTTCTGTTCCCAGCACTGAGGTCTGGTGGCTCACAATTGTCTGGAACACCTGCTGCAGGGGATCTGATACCCTCTTCTGACCCCTGTGGGCACACACGTACCCAGTAGTAAACACATACACATAATTAAAAATAAGGTCTTTTTAAAGAAGGAATGTTTATGTCATGTGTGGCCATTTATGTGCCAGGGAGAGAACTTCTGTGACCCAAGGACAAGAATAAGCCATTGTGAAATGAATTAGAGAACTTACAAACTACAAATGTGCTTGCTAAAACACAACTTCAATAGCAGACTAGCTCCAGGGAACAGAGGAACAGCAGGGAGTTAAGCTAGAAATCCTCACTCAAGAAAGTCGAAAGAGGCTGGCGGTGGAGGTACATGTCTTTAATTCCAGCACTTGGGAGGCAGAGCCAGGAGGATCTCTGTGAGTTTGAGGCCAGCCTGGTCTACAGAGTGAGATCCAGGACAGCCACCAAAACTACACAGAGAAACCTTGTCTCAAAATAAACAAACAAACAAAAAAGAGAAAGAAAATTTGAAGACATGGAAAATCCTGAGGTGACATCCTTCCAAACAGCACTTGAAGATATAAGAGATTTCCTGAGGGTCCACTCAGTGAGTTAGCAGCTCAGTGTCTTAGTTGGGGTTACTATTTGTGCTATGAAACACCAAGACCAAAGAAATTTGAGGAGGAAAGGGTTTATTCAGCTTATGCTTCCATATCACAGTTCATCATCAAAGGGAAGTCAGGGTAGGAACTCAAACAGGCCAGGGACCTGGAGGCAGGAGTGGATGCAGAAGCTATGGAGAGGTGTTGCTAACTGGCTTGTTCATCATGATTTGCTCAGTCTGTTTTGTTATAGAACTCAGGACCACCAACCCAGGGATGGCACTACCCACAGTGGACTGGGCCTTCCCCATTAATCACTAATTAGGAAAATGTCATAAGCCCACTCCCTAGATTCTGTTCCCCAAATCCATTCCACCACCAGCCCCTCCCATGCCAGCCCTGAGGCCAGGCTCTGTCCCCAACCCCTGGATATTCCTGCTGCTCAGGTTTAGGCCACACCAGTCAGAAGAACAATGACCCACCCCTACCCCCCACCCTCCCCGCTGCACCAAAGGCCAAGCTAATCTCCAGAAAGCCAGCTCCCAACTTGGACAGAAACTCCCTACTAGATTAGAGGTCACACTGGCCATCAGAAGTCCAGGCTACAAAGAATAGAAGACCAAAGAGGAAACACACCAAGGAACACAACACACATCCAACAAAGACAAACTCAGAAATCAAGACCTAGACCTAATCATCCTAAACCCTGATGCCTAAATGCCAGAGTAAGAATACAATCAACAGCAGCCAGGGCAATTTGGCACCACCAGAGCCCAGCTAGCCTATGACAGCAAGTCCTGAATATTCCAAAGCAGCTGAAGCACAAGAAAGTGACCTTCAAACAACTTTATGGTAGGAGTCCTTAAAAAGGAAATGAAAAACTCCCTTAAAGAAATTGAGGAAAAGACAACCAAAAAATTGGAGGAAATCAATGAATCCCTTAAAGAATGCCAAGAAAGCCAATAAAAACAAACAGGTGAAAGAAACCATTTAAGACCTGAAAATCAAAATAGAAGCAATAAAGAAAACATCAACTGAGGGAATTCTGGAAATGG